GGAAAAGCCATTCCAGTTCTTTGTTACCGAGGTACGGGGAATTGCAAAAGGGATCCTGACACAGACCCTAGGGCCCTGGAAGCAACCAGTTGCATACTTCTCCAAAAGATTGGACTACGTGGCAGCAGGATGGCCCAACTGTTTGAGGGCAATCGCTGCCACTGCAATCCTCACTAAGGAAGCCCTAAAATTGACACTAGGACAGACCCTCCAGATCATCGCCCCACACGCAGTTGGGTCAGTGCTTCGCAGTCCACCGGACCGGAGGATTTCCAATGCTCGAATCACCGGGTATCAGGTCCTGTTTCTCAACCCACCTCACATACAGTTCCTGACAACTGCCGCACTCAACCCAGCTACCCTACTGCCTGACGAGGACCCTCACCAACCCCTGCATGACTGCCTTGAGGTCCTAGAGAACGTTACCTGCACCAGACCAGACCTGACAGACAGCCCTTGGCCAAATCCGGGCGCTCCTCTATTTACGGATGGAAGTAACTTCATCTCAGAAGGAGTCAGGTATGCTGGGGCTGCAGTGAAACTGTCATCTGGGCACAAACCCTAAGCCATGGAACTTCATCTCAGCGGACTGAACTAGTAGCAGTGACTCAAGCTCTGCGGTGGGGTGAAAACAAGACTGTTAATATCTACATGGACAGCAGGTATGCCTTTGCCACGGCACATGTACACGGGGCGTTATATAAGAAAAGGGGGCTACGGACCTTGGGAGGAAAAGAAATTAAGAATAAGGAAGAAATACTAGCCCTCCCAGAGGCAATTTGGCTGACAAAGAAAGTGGCAATCATGCATTGCCCAGGGCACCAGAACTCGGGCTCAGAGGTAGCACAAGGCAACTCCTTCGCTGATAAAACAGCAAAGGAGGCTGCCCGAAAACCAGTGGGGCCAATTGACATTCTGCCGGCCCTACCGCCCAGGGTGCTAACAGACACCCCTACCTACACTTCAGGGTAAGTTGAACTATGCAACAAGGTGGGAGGCAAAGAAGAATCTACTGGGTGGGTTAGGCTCCTGGACAGCCACATTGTAGTACCTGAGACCTTGAGCCAAGACTTTATAACCCAGGTTCACCAGAGCTCTCACTTGGTAGGAACCAAGTTAATTAAACTGTTGAAAAGAGACTATTACATTCTGGGGCTGCAACAAATGGCCAAGCAGGTATCAGCCCAGTGCCACATCTGTGCACAAGTGAATTCAAGGCCCTCCAAGGAAATACAACAAGGGACAAGACTTCGTGGTCAAGCACGGGGGGAACATTGGGAGTTGGATTTCACTGAGGTCAGCCCAGGAACCTTCGGATTCAAGTACTTGCTTGTGTTCATTGACACTTTCTCAGGATGGACTGAAGCCTTCCCCACTAAGCAGGAGACCGCTCAGGTAGTAGTGTTATGGCGCGAACGATTCTGAGACCCACGGAGCCAATTGAGATTAATTGTGAGCCTTCAGCTCATAAAGCCTAGAACCATACCCTGGTTTAATATCAAACAAGCAAACAGATTAACCACACCCTAGTTAACATCAAATAAGCAAGCAGATTATGGAAGCAGAAGTTGGCGGTTAGCATATCTTTGCCCAGAGCCACACCCTTAACAGTAGCAAAGAAATTAGTCTCAGAAATAGTGCCTCGATTTGGCCTGCCCATAACACGGGTCTGACAAAGGCCCAGCGTTCATCGCCCAGACCAGCCAATCTCTAGCAAAGGTATTAGGGATCAATTGAACATTGCATTGCATTTATAGGCCTCAGAGTTCAGGGCAAGTAGAAAGAATGAACAGAACCTTGAAAGAAACCCTAAATAAGTTCAAGCTGGAAACTGGCGAACACTGGGTGAGTCTCCTCCCCTTTGCCCTGTTAAGGGCACAGTGCCCACTCTATTGTAAGGGCATCACGCCTTATGAAATAACGTTTGGAAGACCCCCACCTCTCCTCCCCAAGTTAGGAGAAGAAAAGCTAACAGAAGTTCATAATTTTTCACTGCTTAAGTCCTTGCAGGCCCTCTATCTCGCACGGCAGGAGACCCACCAACTGGTCTCTGCCACCAGAACAACTGCTCAGCATCCAGTCCAGCCACACTCCAGGCGACTGGATCTGGGTGAAAAAGGTATAGCCTGCTTCTCTTGAGTGCCGCTTGGACGGACCTTTCCCTATCATCCTCGCAACACCCACCGCGGTCAAGGTAGCTGGATGCTGTCATTGGATTCACCATACCAGGATCAAGGCTGCGCATCCACCACAGACATCAGAACAATGGATCCTGCGGCAGACAGAGGACCCACTAAAGATAAGACTATCAAGGGTCCAGTCTGGACCATCTTAATTCTCTTCATCCTAAAGTAAGGGGGTCTTTGTATGGCTTTTAGGTGAAACTTGACAGAATAGAAGAGGATTAGACCTACTGTTAACTATGTATGTCAAAAAAGGGTGCAGGCAGTGAAACTCATGGTTTTCAGAACTCACTACCTACCATTCCAGGTTGAGGAATCAATGATTTGAATTCCCCTAAAAAACCAGTGGGGAATGTTAAGGATGTGGTTCTGGGCAAAGATATGCTAACTGCCAACTTCTGCTTCTGTAATCTGCTTGCTTGTTTGATGTTAAACCAGGATGTGGTTCTAGGTTTTATAAACTGCCTCTTTAGGGAGCTCAGGGCTGATCTCCTCGAATCCTGCGTGGTAGAGAATCATTCGCCGGCCGGCTAATAAAGGCTCATAATTCATCTCAGTTGGCTCTGTGGGTCTTAGAATTGATTGCGCCACAACAGTATTACCTTCTATAGTCAACTGCTTCCACTCATATATTCAGGAAATATGGTTGCAATACAAAGTCCTCAATCTATCCATCCTATAGTTTGCTTGAATCCCAATTGCATGCCCACATCTGATTTAAGCCCCATCTGACCAGGATTTACCTCTCTATAGTAGGCAGTGAATAAACAATCCTGACCATATTTAATAGTTGCTGACTTCTTATCCTCCTCGAAACATTTTTCCCATCCATATTCTCACTATATCTTTATAGGCACACTGAGAAAAGCTGCCTATCCTAAATGAGTATCTAGAGAGAGTAACTTCATAAAGTTACACGAGTAATGTTCAGATGCATATATAAATACCACTCCTGCCCACAGGTTCTTATCAAGAAAGACAAATGACTCTGGAACTTTTGAATGAGACTTACTAATATTAAATGAGACAAAGAGGTTAGTAAGCATAAAATCAATCTCGATAAAGTACAGTTTTCACTCATTTGCTAATTCAAAAAATACACATGGAATATCTTCCATATGTTCTGAGCTACATTGATTACTTGGAATAGACTGAAATAATATAAAAAGGGTTCCTGTTATTCTGGATTGAAGTGAAGTTGAAACTGAAATCTGAAGTATATATAGAGTTCTTTAGTTTTCTAGCTCAATGAATGCACCATAGTCTCATATTCTTCACATGATACTTTCTTTTTAATATTTTTTCCAACCTGTTGCACATGCACGCCTTACTTTATAATATTCAAAGAGCATATAAATAAACATAAAGGCAAAAGAAAATAAATATGCTAAGTTTCAGCATTGAAAACCAACAATGGCAGCATTTGCTCCATTTTGATTATAATAGAGCAAAAACAACCTGGAAACTTTCCTTTAAATTTTTTTTAATTAAATTTATTGGGATGATGTTGGTTAATAAAATTATATAAGTTTTAAGTGTACAATTCAATAATATGTCATATGTATATTGCATTGTGTATTTACCACCAAAAGTTACATTTTCTTCAATCACCATATATTTGACCCCCTTTACCCTTATCTACTTCCTTCCCTTCCCCACTTCCTTCTGTTAACCACTAAACTGTTGTCTATGTCCATGAGTCTCCGTTTGTTTGTCTTGTTCATCTGTTGCTTTCAGTTTTATATCCTATATCTGGGTAAAAACAGATGCTTCTCAACTTTTCCTTTCTGACTTATTTCACTTAGCATGATTATGTCAAGATCTATCCATGTTGTCGCAAATGGCAGTACTTCATCTTTTTTATGGTTGAATGATATTCCATTGTATATATGCACCACCTCCTCTTTATCCAATCATCTATCAAGGGACACTTCAGTTGTTTCCATGTTTTGGCCACTGTGAATAATGCTGCAATGAATATCGGAGTGCATATATATTTAGAGATAAGTGTTTTCAAATTTTGGGGGTAGATACCTGAAAAGGGATTGCTGGGCCACATGGTAATCCTATTCTTAACTTTTTTGAAAAATCTCATACTGTTTTCCATAAAGGCTACTCAGCAATAGAAAGGAATAAACTACCAATACACACAACAACAAGGGTGAATCTCAAATGCTTAATGCTAAGAAACCAAACATGGAAGACTACGTACTGCAGGGTTCCGTGACTTCCTGAATAAAGAAGAATTATAGGCATAGAGGACAAATTAGTGCTTTCCAGGGATTAGGCATGGATAGAGTGGTTAACTACAAAGGGGAAGCATGAGGGAATTTAGAAGAGTAATACAATTTTTCTGTATATTGGTGTCAGTGGTGGTTACATGACTCTATGTGTCAAAACTTACAGAAATATATACCAAAAAGAGTAAATTTTATTGTATATAAGTGTTTTATACACCATTTTGAGAAAAGAAAGTTTGTTTTTATCAAGCTATCTAAATTCTTGCATTCATCAAAACCATTATGCAATGGCATGCCATAACCCATTAGATTTTCTATCCAATGAAGTAGCTAAGAGCCAACCTGTGATTATTTAAATTTACATTTCAATTAACTAAAATTAATTAAAAATTTAAAATTCAATTCCTCAGTTATGTTAGGAAAGTTTCAAGTGCTCCATCGCCATGTGTGGCTAGTAGCTACTATATTAAACAGAGATTCTGAACATTTCTATCACTGTAGGAATTTCTGCTGGACAGTGTTGCATTTGGTACCCTCCTCTAATTTGATTGCATTTGCGCAGAAGTAATAGACACCATTAAGGGCCAATTCTGTCCTTACAGAAGATTCGGACAATCCGCCGCCGGATCTGCTTGGTCCTAACACTGTACACAACAGGATTAAGCACAGGAGGGAGTAACAGGTAGATATTGGCCATGAGTGTATGTACTATTGGTGACAAATGCTTCCCAAAGCGGTGAATCAGAGTCATGCCAATAAGAGGAACATAGAAGAGCAACACTGCACAGATATGAGAGAGGCAGGTGTTGAGAGCTTTGAGTCTCTCTTCCTGGGAAGCAATGCTCAATACTGCCTGGAGGATTAGAATGTAAGAGACCAAAAGGATCAAGGCATCTAGTACAATGATGAAGATCACGGCCAGAAGGCCGTAGATGCTATTGACACGAGTGTCAGCACAGGCAAGCTTCATGGCATCCTGATGGAGGCAGTATGCATGGGAGAGGATGTTGGAGTGGCAGAAAGGCAGCCTTTTGATGAGGAAAGGCACAGGGAGCACAGCTGCCACACTCCTCAGCAGGACTGCTGCTCCAATATTTCTGATGACTCCATGAGTGAGAATAGTAGCATAGTACAAAGGGAAGCGAATAGCCACAAAGCGATCAAAAGCCATGGCCACTAGAACACCTGACTCCACTCCCCCAAAAGTGTGGATAAAGAACATCTGAGTGATACAAGCATCAAGAATTACTGAGCGCCAGTTGAACCAGTGGACACTGATCATGGTGGGCATGGAAGATAGTGAAAGGCTGAGGTCAGTGGCAGCTAACATAGCCAAAAAATAATACATGGGCTCATGGAGACTTTGCTCAACTTTGATGACAACAAGGATAATTATATTACCCAGCAGTGTGGTACTGTAAA